AAGACATCGACTCCTCCTCTGCGGTGGAAGGTATAGCGGAGCCCCGGCGGCAGTGAGGCGGGGGCGGCCCACCCGGTGGATGGCCGGCGAAGGAGAAGGAGATGGCCTCATAAAAAAAAACTGACGGCGCAGTCGGATCCAAGGCTTCTGAATCTGGCCAGGCAGGAGGTGGCAAGCTATACCTACTAGAGGCCTCCTAGATGGGGTCGGAGCAGATGCGGTCGGAGGATCGCGCCGCATCGCCGATACTTCGACGATGCATCGGCGATGCATCGGCGATGCCTCGGCGATGCACCGGCGATGCATCGGCGACGTGAGCGATGCATCGGCGACGCCGCATGGAGAAAATGGGGCTCCACATCGAGCCGCATCGGCGATGCATCTGCGATGCGCCGCGATCCTCCGACACCATCCGCTCGGACCCCATCTAGGAGGCCTAGACCCGCGCCTACACCAGGCATGGCCAGGCCCATCCCGGGCCCGCGGCCGGTGCACACGTGCGCCTGGGAGAGCACACGCGCCGAGCCTGTGGCCCAGGAGGTGGCCCCGCCAGGATCGGTGCAGGTGTACAGTCGCCTTACGTCGTAAGGGCATGAGGTGAAAGGTTCGGTGGCAACTCAGGCATACAATCTTGTCGGTTCTGCGAATCGACGCTAATCGACGCTAAATCGACGCTAATCGACTCACATTCGATGCTAATCGAAGCTAGCCGACGCTAAATCGGCGCTATCTCATCGACTCCAGACGCTAATCGACGCTAGTCAACGCTGAAGACGGAATTCAGAGGGTAGACCAGGCTCCCATGATTTGCCACCGAAGAAAGGTGCAAGTGCCAGCGTCCAATCCGCCGGGGATAAGCAAGCGATCGCGCCGTGTCTGCAGGCGAGTGTGTAGCCGCCGACTGTATCTTTGGGTCACCTCCTCCCGAGAACCAAGCAATACGCCGCAGACACGCGATCCCTGTAAGCCGAAATAATACCTTGACTGAAGAAATACGTCGCGGAAGCGATTGGCCTTGGAAAGATAGCGTGCAACATCGATCTCCGAAACGCACGCCATCGCTGTGAGACGATTCACCCCGCCAGGGCCCCTTCTGTCCACCCCATCCCAAGGAGAGCCCAGAGTCGAATCGCTAAGTCGGATCGTCGATCGAAACGAATCGGATCGGCAGGAATCGGCGGCCGAGTCGGGAAACGTGGAACCGGCGGAAATCGGCAGGCCAGTGTGCCTCCATGGAGAAATCGGAATCCCAACCGGAATCCCAAGTGGAATCGAGTCGGAATGGGAGGCCATCGGAGTCGAATCGAATCGAAGCGGAGGAAGCGAAATGAGGCCGGCATCCCCCCTGACAGGCTTCTTCGGTGCACGCTGGCAGCAAGGTTGGGGATAGCGTGGAATATGAGCGGGCCAGCGTCGCCACATGACGTGACAGTACAGCGAGGGCATTGAATACAGCATCATTGGGAAGCGAAGCCAGGGTCTGGCAACGGGTGGAACTCAAATTGAGGCTTTGGCCGTGGATGCAGGCCTCGGGGAACATTCGCGAACACTCCTGCCGTATTCACCCGTCGATGCCCATCGCCCCCTATATGAGTAATGTTGGCGGTGGGTTGAGTGAGCTGCACTTCGACCCACGTCGACCGCAGTCTTCCCCGCGCGTGCCAACCTTGAGTTTGGGGGAGCGGGAGAGTGTCCACTGATTATTTCCTTATACCGTATCACCGCCGCCCCCCTCACCTAAGGGTTCCTCCAGGGTCTGAAGACTCCTGAGCACATTCCGGATCGAACGCCCCATCCGTGCTGCAGCTTGCAGATCTGGAGCTGGATCGGGCTGCGGGTGCCCCAAAGGCCTGACGGACGGACGCCCGCGGACGCGCACGACGACGACGACGACGCCGACGATGACGCCGACGCCGACGACGACGACGCCGACGACGACGACGACGACGACGACGCCGACGACGCCGACGCCGACGCCGACGCCGACGCCGACGCCGACGATGGCGCGCCTCCCCCCGCGCCTGCCGCAGCGGAGGAGCCCCGCCTCTCGGGCGCCCCACGTCGCCCCGAAAGGGCGGCGGAGGCCGGCGCGCCGCGGGGCTGGTCCGGGCGGAAGAAAAATTCGCCGCGGCGGCGGCTCGCCGGTCGGCGGCGCGCAGGAGTGTGGGGTGCTGCCAGAGGTGACCCTGGCCCAAAGGTACCCTGGGCCAGGGGCACCTTTTAGCAACCCCCGAGAGCGCGCCGCGGGGTGGCCCGGCGGAGGAAAATCGCTGCGGCTGCGGCTCGGCGGTCGGTGTCGGGTGCTGCCAGAAGGTGCCCCTGGCCCAAAGGTGCCCTGGGCCAGGGGCACGTTTTAGCAGCCCCCGAGGGCGTGCCTGGGCAGGAGTGGCCCTCAGGTGCGACGGCTCTATCGAGGCTTGGCGTCTTCGTCGGTTGGCGGCGCGCACAAGGGGGCAGGGGGAAGGGGAAAGGCTTCTTAGAAGGATGCTGCTGCTTAGAAGACGCCAGAGCTGCATCTATAGAGAAGGCCCGCGCCTTTTAAGAAGCAGGTGCCTCTAAGATGCCTCCCCCCCCCTCCCCCATAGCCCCCTGCTGCGCGCGGCCGAGCTGGTTCTCGGCGGTCTCCTGGCCCAGGGTAATGTTGCTCCTAGTTCTTCAGGACCACATCCCAAAAATAATTTCGAGCGCCCAGACAAGTATCGAAACAGTGTCGAAACGAATATCGCCTCCCAGGGCCAGACACAAGAAGTCCATCCAGTTTCGGTACTTTCGTGGTGCTCGAAACTTTTGCTGGTGATCAATGCTACAGTAGGTTGGAACATCATAAGCCCAAGGATGCCGTCCAGCATCTGCGCCTCGCCCGGTTGTCCCGAACGGCCGCAGTAGACCCGAGATATGACCCGCAGCCCCACGGGCAACGGCAGGGGGGGACCTGGCGGCCCAGGGGGGGAGGCGCGCCGATCGTTGCGCGAAGTGCGATGCGACAGTGGCGGCATCCGCGCTTGGGTCCGCTCCCCGCCACACCCCCAGGGAGAGGCTCAGTCCGGACGGAGTAAGCCCAGACGGAGACCGAGCACTCCGGGTGGACGCACTCCCTATGGACTTCGCCTCCTATCAGGAGGGGCGAAGTCCAGACGGAGACCGGGCACTCCGTATGGACTTACTCCACATGGACTTAGCCCACCCACCCACACACACTGCGCCCCGCGAAAGCCGCACACCAGGGATTACTCCAGCAGAGGTGCAGCCGACGAGGGCCGAGCGCGCACGCGCGCGGCACGCGAAACAAAAAAGTTCCGGCGCGGGGGCCGGGCGGGGTGAAAACTGGGGGCGGAGGAGGGTCGAGCGACAGAAAGGAAAACGGGGTGCTGCGCATGACGTCGCATGCGCAGTAACACGGATTAAGGATCCGTGGATCTGGCGCGCGGGTGCCAGGTCCATGTATCGGGGAAGGTACCCCCCGAAAAATGAAGATAGTGCTGGCTCATCTGGCGACGGAGCGGGTCGACTCCGTAGGGAAACTGGGCCAGTCACTAATCCACGTTGCCTTAATCCATGTTTGCGTTTCCTCGCACGATAGCTGCCCCGATACGCAACACGCAGCACGCAGCGTGCTGATCCGGGGCTCAACACGTGTCCTGAAAACGTAGGTTGTACGCGACATGTTCGCCAAAACGTTGGGCCAATACGTTGAGCCAACACGCAACGAATTGACACGGACGTTTTGAGCACGGTGCGTGCTGCGCTCCAAGACGGGCGCAGCGGTACAGGCAAGCTCGGGAAGGCTCGGGGAGATGACGCTCGGGGACCTGGAAGTGGACGGCGTGCCGCCCCGAAGCGCGGTGGGCCAGCGCCGGCGGAGCGACACGCTGTCCCAAAGCTCCCGACCGCAGGTCGGTCCATCGACAGCGTGGGCGGAGGGAAGGAACCTGAAGGGGCCCACAAACACAGAAATAAATACACACAAATCCCAGGATCACCCATATCTTCACATGTTTTCTGGGTTTCTGTGTTCCCCCCCACTTCCCATCTTTTCGCATCTTTTCCTGGGAATCGACGATTGATGGTGTCTGTGTTTTCTTCCTCCTGAGAATCGGCGGCGAGCGAGGGGGAGAAACGAGAAGGAGAAGGCCTCCTCAGAAGGCGGCGGGACTGATCAGAAGCCCTCTCGCGCCCTCTGGAAAGAGTTTTCTGTCCGTGTCTATTCGGGGAAGGCTTCGCGAAGACTCCTTAGAAGGCCGGGGGGCTTCCGAACCTCCTGAGCAGGCCCGCCACTGCTCACTTACACGTCGTTAATTTCCAATCATGCTCATTTCTAACCGTGCTCGTTTCTAAGCGCTCCGGGCCCCCTAGTGGCCAGGAAGAGGCCCAGGATAGAACAATTAGACATGAAAGGATCTTGGCCCCCCAGAAAATGAAAGAATTTCTAATAATGAAACATGAACAGAATGTGTACCCCGCCCTCGCTCGCCGCCGAACGAAGGGCGACCTGACCGGGTGGCGCCCAGCACCGTGCAGCGCCGCGCGGCTCGCTCTCGCGCGCGCCGGAGGTCGCCGAATCTGCTCAACCCCCCGGCCCTCCAGGGCGAAGGGGGGGGGAGGCACGAGGACGCAGAGGGCTGGCCATCGCTCGGACGTCCATGGCCCGTGCCTTGTTCGGTCTCGTGCGCTGGAATTTTCGAAACTCGAGAAGCAATACAAGTACCCCCCGAACCCTTTGGGAGGGGACCTTAGGTAGGAGGGCCAAGCGCATTAGGGATACAGGGGGTCTGTTCTGCAGATGCGTCAGACCGAACCACCCAGATGCTTTTATCCATGATGCGAAGGCGAGGATCTAAGTGAGGCCACGTCTGCATCGCGTTATTAGGGTTAAGGGCTCTCTCGCTCTCGGTGACAATTGATCCAAGATTCTCCTCGATGGCCCTCACCGTGGAAAAAGTGCGCACGTCCGAGCGATGTCAAGAGGAGGCCCTGGCGGGAGCGCGAGACGGCCGCAGAGCTCACGCCACCCCCTCGAGCTTGAAGCTCGGGGCCCGCTGCCCGTAGCTCCGGATAATGCCGCCCTTGTTGGGCCCCGCCTTGATCCTCCAGCCAGGCCCCCCAAAGCGGGAGCGCCACGTCAAGACGAAGCCAGGGCCAGGACAACAGCGGACCAGTATCTGAATCGGAGGTCTCTCTGAGACGGGAGGTCTTCTGGAGCATGCATCGGCCGCAGCAACCGTTCTAGAGCGCTCCGGAGCACCCTCCCAGAAAACTCCAGAAGGCTCTGGAACGAATTGCCCCAGCCCTGGCCCCGCCCGACATGGCCGTTTCCAGAGACCCTGAACACAACAATGTTGCCATCCCTTTTGCACAGGGACCGGCCGTCCTGGCATTCATATAGGCCTCCCACGAAATGTTCTTAGATCCCCAAATGCCCTATCAACAAAAGCAATGTTATTATAACACAAACCCGATGTGCCAAAACAAAACAGACCCAGCCAGAAATGTTCTAAGAACATTTAGTGCAAACCACACAAGGTTCTTAGAACATCCTTTGGAAGGTCTACAGGCGAGCAAGGACGCTTCGACACTGCTTGACCCTTGGGGGCGCACCTTGAATACTTCCGCCGGCTTCCCCGCAGGCGAGGTCCCTCTGCGGAAGCGCCACACGTGAGCGACGAAAAGAACCGGGTCTTACGCGAGATGGCACTCGGTGGGAGCATTGGATAAGGAAGCCTTAGATAAGGACTCCAGGGTCTGGAGACCAGTGGACTTCCATTCGACGCTGGGCCATGGATACCGCCGACGCCCTCATCAGATAAGGAATTCCCCCGGGTCTGCAGCCTCCTGGGCGCATTCCTGAACCAACGCCCCCACCTTAGCGACCTTGCGCGGTGGCTTACGCGGGCCGCCAGCGCGGCACGCCGCATTGGAAGCGAGGGCACTCACGCGCGACCTTACGCGGGCAGCTTGTGCGCGAATGTCGGCACAGTCGAACAATATGTTCTGCGCCGCTCATGTGGAGGTGGGGAGGGAGATGGGAGGATCGGATTTTCACGGCTTCCGACCCGTCTGGCCCGCCCCGAGAAGTTCGCACATTCTGCCCCAAAAGCCCTGGGGAGTGGGCGGGGGCCCTGGTCGGGGGCGTTTCGAATACAGAGCTCCCTCCCTGGGGCGTGGTGCTTGTAAACTGAGCGTGGCCCCGTGGGTGACTACCTACCAGACCACCCCAACCCAACCCGAAGACCCGAATCTCGGGCTGGGGGGGGGTGAGGGTTCCACATGTGTTTTTTTCTTGATGTTTCCCGGCCCCCCCCACTGGAAATCGAGGGTAAATCTGAGCCTTCGGGTCGGGTTGGGGTGGTTTGGTGGGTGGTGTGTGGGGCGGAATCTGCCTTGGGTGGGGAGGGTGTGGCATACCAAACAACAACAAAAACCCCCCACCCCTCAAAAAAACAAAGCTCGAGAACCTGGGCCTCCCGAGGCACCGCTGCCCGGACGCAAACCCGACGGACGGGTCACGACGAGGACGGTGCTCGGGAGGGGTCCCAGGGCCCAGGGCCCCGACCTCCAGCGGCGCGAAGAGAAGTAAGGAGAGGGGCCACGGCCGACTGCCCGCGAAGGGTCGAGGGCGATCGAGACCAAACCGAGGGCCGAAGGGGGCCGATGGGGCACCGACGATCGATGGAGGGGGGGGGGATCGCGGGAGGAGGAGGAGGATGCATGCTTGCGTCTTCGCTTTCTCCTCCTCCTCCGCCTCCGCCTCCTCCTCCGCCTCCTCCTCCTCCGCCTCTTCCTCCTCCGCCTCCTCCTCCTCCGCCTCCTCCTCCGCCTCCGCCGCCGCCGCCTCCTCCTCCTCCTCGCTTGCGGGATCGGGGCCAAGTATCTGGAAGTTGGAGTGAGTGGAGCTCTTGGGGGCCTCCCGATGCCCTCACGAGCTTCTATGTGCCCGTCGATCCCTACCTGGGCCGTGTGGTGGCGTAGCGGACCCCAGGGACCACTCGCTTCGTGATCAGCGCCCATCGCGCCATCGTCGCTGTCGGTGCTCCCTTTCTCTCCCTCCGTCTTGTCTTGTCTCCCCCCTCTTCCGCTTCGATCCTCGATCCTCCTCATCCTCATCATCGATCCTCCTCCTCACTCCTGCTCCTGCGCCTGCTCCTGCTTCTGCTCCTGCTCCTGCTCCTCCTTCTCCTCCTCCTCCTCCTCCTCCTCCTCCTCCTCCTCATCATCATCATCATCATCATCACCCTCCTCCTCCTCCTCCTCCTTGATCCTTCTCCGCTTTCTCCTCGATCCTCCTCGATCCTCCTCGATCCTCCTCGATCCTCCTCCTCCTGTGATCGACCAAGGGAGAAGGCCTGCTGAGAGCCTCCGCAGGGCCGCAGGGTTGTAACAACAGGCTCTTACGCAAAGTCTTGCAGCTCTGACTGCCCTGGTGGGCTCCGAGAGCCCACCCCAGCCCACGTGCCCTCTTTGGAGCCCTGGCCGGGTCCTCCTCGGCGGACCCCCGCCGCCGGCATTTGCGATCCTCTCGTAGACCTCCCGGGCTCACAACGGTGCCGAACGGCCTGGGTGCCCTCTTGTGCTCGGGGACCCACTGCGAGGCTTGGGCCGGACGGAGATCCTGCATGGCAGGCAGGTGCGGACCGCATGCCAGATGTTCTGGCCTGCCTCGCAGACTCCTTTGGCGAGAGCATGACCTCCCTCACCGCGCGCACGGGAACGCGTCAGGGGCGGCGCAGCAGGCGCCGCCAGAGTGTGGTGAGGGGGGCCCAACGCCGACCGCAGAAGTCCGCTGGATCTCCGAAGGTTCAGGTTTGTGGCTGTCTTTGGTCCTCCAGACCTGGCGGCGCAGGACATCGCGATAAGGATCCTTCGTGCGTGCCCGGAGGAGCCAGTCGATCTCGCCCTCGACTGAGGCCCTCAAGTCAGAGTACGTCCTGGCGCAGCCGTCCGCATCCTGCGGGTCCAAGTCCTTCAGGTCGAAAGGACGGCCGAAGCTGAAGTAGAAGCGGTCGCCGAGTCCGGCGGACGCCTGCGTGGAGAGCTTCGTCTGCGGGAGCGCCTCTGGGAGCCGCAGCTGCATCCTGGAGGACTCGGCGCTGCCGATGCCATCGGGAGACCACCGCTCCATGGTGCTCTTCGCTGTTTCGGCCTCGGCCTCGGTGAACCGCCCGCCCAGCCCCATTGGGAGCAGCGAGCGGACGGTCTCGAGCGGACCCCAGTTCTCCGGCAGGTCCTGCAGGTTGTCCGCAGATCCTACACCACCGAAGGGCACCACCACCGCGTCGTACTTGGCGGCGGCCCGCACGAAGTCGGTCTTGTCGGGCCACTGCAGCTTGTACTTGTCGCGAGGCCTGGACAGCGCCTCCGCCGCGCCACCGGGGAAGAGGAGCACCGCCTCCCCCTGCTAGAGGAAGAACAACAGCACAAACAGAAACTTTCGGAGTTCAGCGCGGATTTCTTGGATCGGCGCTGGGCCCCCCCCCTCAGGCTCCGAAGGTATGTGCTTGTGCAGTTGCTTCTTCTTTGACCTGCTGCAGCAGCTTGATGAAGTTGCGGGGCGTCACCTCGCGAACGAATTAGCCTGGCGAAAGACCCAACCATACGCAGTCATGGAGCTCTCTATGGCGCCACGGAGCGTGTGAGGGGGTGTGCCGAAATGGGTGCGGGGGACGCATGCGGACGGAGGCACTGGGGCCTTCGGGGGAACTCCCTATGGGGCCACGAAACGTGTGAGTGGGTTTCCCGAAATGGGTGTGGGGGACGCATGTGGACGGAGGCACTGGGGCCTTCGGTGGAGCTCCCAATGGGGCCACGAAACGTGTAAGAGGGGTGCCGGCAGCGGGTGCGCGGGACGCATGTGGACGATGGCGCTGGGGCCATCGGTGGAGCTCCCTATGGGGCCACGAAGCGTGTGAGGGGGTGTGCCGAAATGGGTGTGGTGAACGCATGTGGACGGAGGCACTGGGGCCTTCGGGGGAGTTCCCTATGGGGTCACGAAGCGTGTGAGGGGTGTGCCGACATAGGTGTGGGGAACGCATGTGGACGGTGGCACTGAGACCTTCGGTGGAGCTCCCAATGGGGCCACGAAACGTGTGAGTGGGTATGCAAGAATGGGTGTGGCGAACGCATGTGGACGGAAGCACAGGGGGCCTTCGGTGGAGCTCCCAATGGGGCCACGAAACGTGTGAGGGGTGTGCTGGGATCTGTACGGGGGACGAAAGTGGACGGTGGCACCAGGGCCTTCGGTGGAGCTCCCTATGGGGCCACGAAGCGTGTGAGGGGTGTGCCAAAGTGAGGGGGGTGACGGGAGGAGGGAGGAGGAGGAGGAGGAGGAGAGGAGAAGAGAGGAGAGGAGGAGGGGAACGCAGGAACCGTTTCTTCAAAACGAGGACCCAACACCACAGGATGGTTGGGAAAAACAAATTGACATATCCGTATCTGTGGCCTCGCGGAAAGGGCCCCTGGGCCGCGGCCCCTCGGGCACGGTGCGTTTTACGCAGATGCTCCGCGCGGAATGTATCCGTGCGACCGCGCATCCGCGGAACCGCGCCAAGGAATCCAGACCGCGAGGGCGTGGATACGGATACGCTCGCCGCTCGTGATCACCGGCACTGCGCCCCACTGGCGGAAATTGCCGCCGAAGAGGCCGCCAGCATCCGCGGGCCCCGCTCCCGCGCCGCCACGGCCCCTGCCCTTGCCCTTGCCACGGCCTCCGCCTTTGCCTTTGCCCTGGCCTTCGCGGCCGTCGCCCCCCTCCGGCTCCAGGAAGCCGCGCGCCACCTCGAGGGAGGCGCGGGCCTGAGGGGACAAACATACACGCATAGAGGAGGAAAGATTTGCATCAACATGCGTCTGTCAGCGTGGACCCCAAGCAGTGCGTGACTGCACTGTGGAGGTGGAAGCTATGCAGTGCAAGCTAGGTTGCGAAAGCCATGCCAAGTAAGCGATGTGGTGCGAGCTACGGAGGGTGAAAGCTGTGCCGTGCCAGCTCTGTGAAATGAGCAATGCCGTG